GAGCATGTACTGAGCGGTACCGAGCATGTACTGAGCGGTACCGAGCATGTACTGAGCGGACGAATGAAAGAAAGCTGAATCAGGAGTTATTCAAGCTTTCTTTACTACACCTCAAAGTTAAGGCCACAACACCGCTCACCTGCTCTTCCGACCTAACCGAGGCCTGAACGTTTCCTGCACTCACAACTTCGGCTTCGTTTCCTGCTTTCGAAACCGTTATTGCTTTTGGATTCGTTTCCTGTGTCGTCTCCTTCTGACTTCGTCTCCTGCACTTACAGCTTCGTTTCTTTCCCTCACGGCTTCGCCTCTAGTTCGCCTTTCAATTCTCACAGGAAGCCCTAATCCTATACGCGAATACACAAACACGAATCGGCTGCGTCGTATTTATATATATACCGAAGAAAAAATTTCGAGGCGGTGCCTCATACTGCCTCGAGGCGTTACGCTCTAATGCGTACGCCTTGTGCAAAAAAATCGTAGGCTTCGCTGGATGGTTCGAGGCGTAAGCCCTGATACGCATGACTTCCGCCTCGACTTGAGGCGCGACTCAATATGGACGCCTCGTCCGCTTTTTTAATGGTTGGTATAAAGCCAAGACCTGCCTTTGCATTCCAGAAAGTTTCCAAGGAGAAGCCATCTCATCTTCAGTATCATTAGCCTCTCAAAGAAATATTGAAAATGAAGTCCCTGCAATGCGCTGAATTTCTCAGATTTTATAGTAGGAGAAGCTGGGGGAAGGATAGGAGCTATAAATCTTGTAAAATCTTCTATCACACAAGAAAGAGAGATATCAGCAAGCAAATAAGACAAATAGTACCAGTTTGCTTCAAAACAACATAAGATATAAATTTTGAGGCATACAGCCTGATGGCTTGATCGTCTAGTCGAGGTGTACTCAATGATGCAAACAAAGAAGGCTTGCCTCCCCACAATACACAAATCAGAAAGCGCCAACTAATGCTGAAACCTCTTACGGCATCAACAATATGCGATCTTGAGGCTGTGGAAAGAGAAGATTGAGTGCGACTCCTACCAAATGAAGGTAGGAAAAAACTAAGCAAATAATATATGTATCATGACAATGATGTTGTTGTCTCACGCCCTGAATCCTCCCTGCCACAACACCGTTTAATGTGAGAAAGAAGAACACACATTGCTATAATTTCCCTAGGGATCCACTGTGATAGACAAACATTTCCCTCTGCAGAGACCACTAATGAGAAGTGACGAAAGCTTTTATTTGAATATTAACCCAAGCTTTCTTTATTCTAGAATTGACATTTTCACTCATGATTTAAACTAGAAACTAAGATGAGTTCCTCTTTCAAGATTATGGTGATAAATCTATAGACTGATAAAAGGGAAACGAAGCAAGCTCTCTGCATGCATCGTGACGATTCAGCCTGGTGATTTAACATTATATCAGCAAGAAAATAAAGATGCATAAGTGCTAAATGAAAACAATCCTAGACTTAATAAAAGCAGAAAGTCCTTACGAGTGAATATAGAAGGCCTAGCCCTCTCATTCTAATCACAAAGTTCTAGCAAGATGGAAGAGCACCTAGGCTGACCGATAATACATAAAGCAAAAGTGTAGGCTAATGTATACTGCCACTGTGGCCGTTATATGTAGCGCTAAGAATCTAATTTATGCTTATCCTAGTCATACGCTGAAATGGCCTTACAATGCCTAGAATTGTTGGAAACAAGTGCAAATAAGACCACACAATCTGCAGATTAATAGCATTTACTGGTGGACAGGGTTTAGGGTCCAATCTAAAGATGAAGATATATATATATATATAATGGGAGCCGCATTAAATATATTTTTTCATTAACTAAATGAAAATATCAAATACACAATAGATTAATCTAAAAGAAAGGAGAAAGAATAGAGCTAGCTTCAAGAGATTTAAAGGAGATGGGAGATATTGTAGTAATAGAGTTCACAGCATTTTTCCATAAATCTTATACTATTGTTAAATGACTAGAGATTATGCCTTCTAGTAATCCTCATCATTAGCCATATGCCAATTATTTGGGGTTTGTTTTCTCAATCCCCATTTTTCATTAGCTCCTATAAGATGCAATCTAGAGTGTTAAACCTATTTTTTGCAAATTATTTTAAACAACTTCTATCTATATAACCTTAAGTTTAAGTTTAGCCCTTCCTCTCAATCCTCATATACTTATTTTATCTACATTAACTCATATACTTATTTTATCTACATGTCTAATGTGCACATTTTATATCCTATAGCATACACATCCAAAACATTTAAATATAGTTTCAATTACCTTATCTTTAATTCATTTCACTTCGATTGTTCCTTTGATACAATCATTCCTTAATTCATCCTTCTTAATTTTAGCAAATATTAATTTTCAATTATATCACACTTAAGTTAGATATCATTGACTTTTTTTAATGTCCAATACTCAAAATCCATGCAATCACGTCGACCTAATTGAAATTTTATCTTTATAAAATGTACCTTTAAATCTCTAAACTATTCTCTTATCACATAATGATGAGGCACCTCTTCATTAAACCGTCCATGTTTGACTTGAGAGCTTATATCACCTATCTTCTAAATATACTAATTGCTAATTGTTAGTATTACACTCTAAAATGACATATTATATGCTCAATCTGTCTTACAAATTCTTAATCCTCTATTTCTAAAGTCTAAATAAGCTTTATATTATTCTAAAATTTCACTTATTTCAGCATATGTCTCACAAATCCGAAAACATATACATCAAAGCACACCACTTTAAATATTTTTTTATAAGTATCTCCACAATCATTTAAAAAAATTGGGAATTTACAATGTAGTTGGAAGAAAAGACCATGAAAGGTTGATTTGGAGAATCAAATTCATGTTCTGTGAGTAACATCAATAAAGGCAATGATATCTAAAGTTGGCACTTAGACAATTGGCACATAAACAATTGATGGAAAACTAAAAAAAGAAATTAAGTCTAAAAAATAAGGCAAGATCATTTAAGGGTATGGTTTATTAAAGACTCAGAATTTCATATTGGATGCTAGATTCTGATATAATTAATAAATAATTTGATTAACCTAGAAAATGTGAACAAATATGTTTTTCCCTACCTAATTCTAATAAAACGTTGAATCATCATCATAACTAAAATGAACCTTACAACAACAACATCAAGCTTTTATCCCACTATGTGGGGTCGGCTACATGAATCTTTTTTCTCCATTGGAGCTACTCCAACCTTTTCACATATATACTAATTTCACATTCCGTCTCTAAGAGTGAAATCACTCATCCACCCGAGCATCCTCATCTCTACAACACTTAACTTTATGCTTCTCTTTTAATGGCCAACATTGTGTCATAAAGCATTGCAGGTCTCACCGCCATCTTATAGAATCTTACCTTACATTGAAAGGTGCTTTTCTTTTATACAATAGGCCCGATGCAATCCTCCACTTCAACCATCCAACTTGAATTCTAATAATAATATCTTCATATATATTCACTATCACTTTGAACGATAACCTAGATATCTAAAATGTGTACTCTTATTAATGACTTGATCACCCAAAGTCACAATCCCTCAACTAGATCTATAACTACTAAAATTACACTATATATTAAGTTTTATATATACTCTAACAAAACCTTTGACTCTAAAATTGACATCCATAATTCAAGTTTTACTTTAACTCCCTTTTTGATCTTGCCAACAAGAAGAATTTCACCAGCAAAAATTATACATAAAGGTACATCCTCTTGTAAATATCTAGTAAGAACATTCAAGACTAAAGCAAAAAGATGATGGGCTTAAAGCTGGTCCTTAATATAATCCAATTGAAATAAGAAAATACTTAAACAAACCACCTTGTGTTTGAACTCAAGTAACAACTCCTACATACATATCCACAATAACTTGAATATAAGCATTATTAACCCCTTTCATTTCTAG